CGTGCGTGCGTGCGTGCGTGCGTGTGCGTGCGTGCGTGTGCGCGTGCGTGTGCGTGTGCGTGTGCATGCGCGTGCGTGTGCGTGTGTGTGCGCGTGTGTGTGTGTGAGATAGAGAATGTGTGTGTATGTGCGTGTGTGCGTGTAGGTGCGTGCAACAACACGCGAGTGTATGCATACGTGTATGCGCGTTCGCCATCACGTGAGTGTGAGTGTGCGTGAGTGTGTGTGCGCAAGCGTGCATGTGTATGCACGCTGACGCCTCGCGCGGCTAGAAGCCATGCACGTGTGTATAAGGTCACCAAAGCCGGTGCGTAACTGCCTTGAATGTCGTCAGTCCTCACACAACACAGCAGCCGTGAACTTCCATCTGCCACCTGCGGGCCCATCACATTGGCCAGATCGCCCTTGTGGACGTGCTGCTGCCCACCAGCGCTGCGCTGCGCCTGCTGCGTGCACTGGAAGCTGTCTTGGCAGAGGACTGGGGCCGCATGGAGGTGCGGGCAGGGTGAACAGTTGCCGCCGTGTTTGCAGTACAGCAGCAGAGCATCTTGTTGGGGAGAGGGGGCTGCTGTGGCTGGCGCTGATCAACGGCAGATCGTGCAGTGGCCTGGATTTCGCGAGTACAGAGAAGACAGTTGGGAGCTGTGCGTCAGCCATTGTACGCCTGCGTGTTGCTGCTGACTTGCCCTGCACGATGCCCTGGTTGACTGCAGGTTGAGCGTGTGGTGGATGCGGCCGTTCAGGGAGACAATGGCAAGATGGCCATGCTGTCGGGCGCGGGTCGCCTGTTATGGGCAACGCACAGAGCCATGTTCCGCGAGCTGCTTGCTAGTGGTGCGCGACAAGCGGCCTGACAACAGAGCAGCATAGTCCTGCAGCAGCTGATGAGGCTGGAGAAGGGTGTGCTATTAAAATTCAGGCGCAGCGAGGTGGTGCCCGTGCAGCCACCAGCGCACGTCAGACGCCCGCCAGTATTGGGCGTTGTCGCTGCACGACCCATGCACTGGGAAGGTGCAAGGAAGCGCCACATCGCCTCCTAGTGTGCAAGCTACGAGCAAAAACATATACGCTCGCGCGGGGCATTCATGTGGTGCAGATATTTCTGCACAAATAAACGAAATTAACGATAGCCAAAAGCATACGAACCCGCATCATTGATGTCAGCATCAACATGCTTTCAGCTCATGAACTCCCTGCTCATTGTTGGCGGGGGCCAGTAAGAATACTGGGCCATGTTGAGGCTCGTGTCGGAATTTGGCTGCTGGCTGCAGTCCCATAAGCACTTTGGCATTCACACCCTGCCTTGATCCTTTTTTAGCCCACCTTCAAGGATTGCTTACTCATCTTGGCAGGCACTGCACCCCAAGGATGCTGCTCCCAAGGTCAACACCTGGCATGATGCTGTGCACTCAGATCGGTTGACAACCGTGCATAAGGAGGGGAGCTGAGGGGAAGCGGTGGGATGACAGCGTGTTGGTCCGGAGTCAGGTGCGTGCGCAGGCATGGGGGCAAGGGCGCCAGCATGGCAGATGGCCACTCCCTGCAAGCACAGAGGGTGTTTGTCCTGTGCTTGCCAAAGTGCAACATAGACGAGCGGCAAACTAATGCCGTGTGACAGCATAAGAGAGGGTGTGTTATCGCGGCGCTCCGCTCGCGCTGATCCTCGGGTGTCGCAGCCGACACCCTGTTTTGCCGCCAACAGCTATTGAAGGCCACGCGCTACAGCATGCGACGTAGATACATCACAAACGCAGAGGTCCGATATATAAGTTCTGCTGAGCGCGCTGCCACATCGTTCACACTCAACACCGCTGATCTGTAGAGCTCGGCCACCTACAGCAGCGTTGGTCGCACCACCCCCTTGATCCTCATCTTCCTCTGGCATGGCAGCCCTGTCCACCAGCCTAGGTCGCTTGCGAGGCCACCAAGCCCGGGTGCCCCGCAGCGGCAATCATCTAAGGGCCCGTCGGCAGCATACAAGCGCAGCTGGGAGACTCTATCGTTCGCTAGTATCCCAATGTCGAGCGGCCTCCAGTGCGCGGGGGCATACAGAAGCGCCCAGCTGCAGTAGCACCGTCCAGCTCGGGCCCCACTCTGCTAGCAGGCGTGCCCTTCTCGCGGGGCTTGCGCTAGTGCCGCTTGCGAGCGCGGCAGCCGCGGTTGCAGCTGAGCCATCGTCAGACATCATTGTTGGCACGCAGCGGTGGGCGGGCCTGGGCATGCAGGCTCTGCAGGTGCAGGTGCAGCAGGTGGCAGCCGGGGAACCCGGTGACGCCCCCCTGGACGATGAGCTCAAGGAGCGGCGGCGCCGCCTTGGTGGGTACAGCGCCTGAGGAGCTTGCCACCCTGCGTGCGAACTTGCAGCAGGGCTCTGCCGCAGCGGTGTGGTTCATTGTGGTGCAGATAATTGGCAACTGCGCCCAGCCAAGTCAGCGGTCGCCGGCGCTTGAATCCCCCACCCCGTCTCTGCCATCGTCAACGCCCCTTCTCAGGCAACATCACTGTTCCAGGCCTCAGCAGCTTTTCTTTTGTCCACGGCCTGCTGGTCGGTTGTGCGGTCATCGCCTTCCTGGCAGCTGACCGCCTAGGCTTGGGCGGCAACAACCCCAGCAGCAGCAGCGACAGCGGTAGCAACCTTAACACGGCAAGGGTGAGTCTCAGTTGTACGTGGATTTTCAGCAGCCCTGAAACCCAATTTTAATATATGCAGATGGCTGCTGGCTGTCTCTGCTGTAGCAGCGCTCGATCCGTGGGTGCGGTGAAACACCGCCTGCCTGGTACCCCTCGGCCTGCCCTGCTGATCCATGCCCAGCAGCTCAGGCAAAACACCATCACCCACCTGTGTGCGCTGTCCTTCACTCCCCCCCTACCCCTCTTATGCCGCGTTCATGCCCGCCGCCAGCCTGCAACCCCATCAGGCCTGGACCCCGATGTGGAGGCCGCGCTGAGGGTGGCCATCAAGGACGCCAGCCCCGCATTCCACGACCCACAGGTAAGCGCATGAGCGGGGGCTTGGTACCGCAGGTTGGGTCCAGCCTCTGGAGGCATTGCCCGCGCGGAACAAGATGTGCCCCCACAGACCAATCGTGTGCTGGGGTGTTGCGAGGACTGGGAGGTGTTTTTGGCATCCTGGACCTCCCCCCCAACGCACACACACACACACACACACACACACACACACATCAAAAGCCCCTTCTTGACCTATTCAATCATGCTGCTCTGACAGGTGCACGCAGCCATTGAGGAGGTCCGCGCCGACATCGGCGCCATCAACAAGTACAGGGAGGACCCCGCGGTCATGGGCGCCTTCCAGAAGCTGCTGGAGGTGAGTATTTCGTGTTATGTGGTGGCGAGGGGGGGCTTGAAGGGGCGAAGGAGACCGCTTTCAGAGGAGCTGCTGCAGCGCTCAGGGTGCGGAGTCTGTTGCATGCCGCGCCCCCTTGTTGCTGGGAGTGGCGTGCCATGTGCCCGCATTGCCAACACCTCGCGTAACTTGGAAAGTACGAAGTGCGCTGTGCATGGTTCTGGCGCACCACATTGCAAGCCACGCCCTCACGCCAGTGCCTCCCCCCTCCTTTCCCTTGCAGATTGAGGGCATTTTGGAGCGCCTTTAACACATAACTTTGATTCATGCGTTACACTGCATCCTCATCCCATCCCCCCACCCCATCCTTGGGGTATGGCCACTGCTGTATCCTGAACGGGGCCCCTGGACGTTCCAGTGCTCGGTGTCTGGGCGTCCCTGCTGTGTTGACTCTGTACGGTTGGCCCGTTCTTCTTGTGTTGTGCTCGCAGTGGCTATTCTATCGCCCCGCGAATGCCACCCTCTGTGATTCGACCACTCACTGATTCTCCATGTGCATCCCTAACGGCCTGGGGAAGACCACAACTTTCATCTGTGTAAGATACCTCAAATGGCAGTTCATATGCAGCAGGGCAAGGAATAGAGTTTCAAGTAATGGGATGCGAAACGGTGAGTCAGTTCGGGCAGGTTTGCCTGCCAGTTGCAGAGATGGGCCAGGTCGTGTAGAAAACATAGCCCCACTCTTTCTCTGCTCTCATCCTCCTTTCGTATGAGTGCAAGGAACTTGCTTGAAGCGGCTTGCGAGGTGATATGCATGCCCCAGAGATGGGGGTGGACTATCTGGGATGACAGCCACCAGCATGCCACTTGTGGCCCAGCTGTTACTGACGAGGGTCCACCCACTCCCAGCAGGTCAAAAGGTAGAATACGATACCAACAAAGCTTGCAGGTGAGGGGAAGAGAGCTGGGGTTGTGTGGGGCCATGATTTATGCAAGCCTGCCGGCCGCCTGGGGATACGAATGCAGAGCAGCCAGACATACGAGTGCAGAGCAGCTGTGTCTTGGCTGCGCGGACAGCTCGCCACGACACCCGCATCGCTCTGTTGCTTTGAAATGGGTGACAGCTGAAGCCCTGTGTTTGGGGGGAACAGGTTGTGCGATCCAAAGCGTCTACGTTCGGGATGCAGTCTGTATCGCCGCCGACCCGTTAGGCGCGCGCCAATGGAGCGAGGCTTGACTCGTGTGAGAGCTTTGAGGACGGCAACAACCAGGGAAAGGAGTGGGGTGGAGTAAATGCACCTCAGGGCAAATCGCCATCCCTAACATCCCCAAGAAAACACCATCGTTTCGCACCTGGTCAGCTTGTTTGGCTTCACCAGGGCATGCAGTCACACCTGACAACGTCAGAGACAGGAGTGGTGACAGCGCTGCGCAACTGCCTTGGGCAGCCACTTGCACAAGCCAGACCTACACCAGGACCTGCCTCCCACCTGTTCCATGTCTCGTCTGCCGTCGTACCTGTATCACGCATCAAGCGGTGGTGCAACATCTGCTAACGTGCCATGTTGTTTAATGATCTGTTGACGGAGGCTCAGGCTCCGTCACAACCCTGCGCAAGTGAAGCAGTGAGTAGAGGGGTCTCCAAAGTAGCTTAATCAGATGGAGGTAGGAGAAGGGCGCACAGAAGGGGGGTGGGAACGGGATGAGGTCGAAGGAGGCCAGCCGTGCCCCTGACTGCCCAGGCGGCTGTGGGTAAGAGCGATGCTTGCGTTGGTAGCGCAAGCGTTGACAGAGACAGCGCATGCCTGTGAGGCTACAGCGGCTACAGGCTGCGCTTGCTGAAGCGGCATCGCCCTGAGTAGCTTAGGGCGGCGCAGCACTGAACAACAGTGAGCAGGAAGAGCCAAGTTTTAGCCTTGTGAAGGGCGAGGGCAGGTCGTCAGCCGCTTGCTCGACCGGCGAGGGTCAGGCAAACTTAGTGAGCTTTCACTTTATCGTGTCGTGCGGCGCCCTTGGGCATGGCAACTCTTGCAACAGCCAACGCGGCAGCAGCTGCGCAGCAGCAGCTTGTGCAGCTGAGTGCCGCCCTGGTGACGGCGTGCCCGGTATCCGAACCCGCTGCCACGATACTGCAATGTGATACAAGCATCCACGCTTTCAACTTTTTGACACGCGAAACCCCAGCACACATCTCATTTCGCAGATCGATTCGCTCACAATGATCGGCAGGCTCGCTTTAGCCGCCGCCCGGGCGGCTGCACCTGCGACGCGCTCGCATATTATGTCTACAGCTGCACGTTCGTTCGCTTCTGAGGTGGGAGACACTTGCACCCAACCGAGTGCATTGCGGGACCACCTGCGTGGCCCCGCCCTGCCTGCTGCATGCGAGGCTCAAATGAGGCGTGACATTATCCCCACTATACGCGCCACGAGACCGCGTGAGCGTCGCGTGCACAGACTAGACGCCCAAACCGCCGGGATTGGCGCCTGCCTCTCAGCACGCTGATCTGGCATGCACTGCACAACCCCCAGGGCAGTGCCAGTGGCGGCGGCAGCGGCAAGGTGCTCTTGGTGGTGGGCGCTGCCGCTGCCGGTGGAGTTTACGCCTGGAAGACTGGCCTGCTGGACAGCCTGAGCGGCAGCCCTGGCCCCGTGATTACGGTAAGCGGTGGCGGCTTATCGACGCAAGGCAGGGGTGCGCGCTGCCTCGGCGTCCCAGTCCGCACCTCGTCGTCGCATGCCACACGAGGTTCAAGCATCGCCATCTCTTCTTATCGATACCCCCAGGCTCCTGCCAAGCCAGACTACGGTGCGGTGCGCAAGGCGATCGAGGACGTGCTGGATGTGGATGGCTATGACGATGGCTCCTACGGCCCCGTGCTGGTGACAAGGGCGGGTCGGGGGAGGACAAGGGCAGGGCCGACCAGGCGGGGGCAAAGGGGAAAGGGGCCATCAGGATCGGGATGGCGCACGGGGACATATGGAGATGTTTTGGGGCGCAGGGGCAGTTGTGGCCTATTTTGCCTCCGCATGGCTCGCTCATGCGGTACTGACGGGTTGATGCATTAAAGGTGTCCGCCTGCTCCGTCCCCTCGCCCACACCCCTCCTCCCCGGAAGGTGCGCCTGGCATGGCACTCTGCGGGGACGTACGACAAGGCCAGCGGCACCGGCGGCTCCAACGGTGCCACCATGCGCTTCGCTCCTGAGAGCGAGCACGGCGCCAACGCGGGCCTGGCCGTGGCCAGGTATGGCGGCAGGGAACGGCAGCGCAGGGCGGGGCATTATTGGATGGCTCCCAGAGACGCGAGCGGGTGCACAGGTGCAGCTGCAGCTGCAACAGCTGGCCCCGCATGTGCTTGCACGCCTGCATGCATCCGCTCCATGTCCCCTTCAAACACAGACCCGCCCTGCACTGTCCCCTCAGGAACCTGCTTGAGCCCATCAAGGCTAAGTTCCCATGGATCACGTACGCAGACCTCTACACCCTGGCTGGGGTAACCGCCATTGAGGCCATGGGCGGTGCGCTCGGCGATGGGGAGGGGAAAGGGGAGTCTTGTGGCCGTATCTGCTGTGCTGGCCGGGGTCAAAGCAATATTTGTTTTCCAGCAACAGCAATAGGTTAGAGCAACAAGCTACTGGTTGTTTTGAAAATCTCCCCTGCTTGAGTCAGGCCCACAGAACTCCTTCGCTGCACACCACCCCCTTTTTGCCACCCAAGGCCCCACCATCCCGTGGGCTCCCGGACGCAGCGACGCACCCGACAGCACCGCGTGCCCTCCTGACGGCCGCCTGCCCGACGCGAGTCTGGGCGCTGCCCACATCCGCGAGATTTTTGGGCGCATGGGCTTCAACGACAGGTGGGAGGGGGGGAGCGCGCGCGGCCACTTGGCCGAGGAGGCCGATGGCTACAAAGGGGTGATACAGGCTGTTAAGACGGCAGGTCAGCCCCGCCAATACCAACGCCGATGCAGTGCTGCAGCAAGACATTAACACCCTCTCAATCTTCCCCCCTTTAAACAACCCCACTCCTGTGCAGGGAGATCGTGGCGCTGAGCGGCGCACACACGCTGGGCCGCTGCCATGCCGACAGGAGTGGCTTCCTGGGTGGGTGTGCTGCCCAGGCTGACATGCCTGGTGGATTGCAGGGCTCCTGCTTACTCACCTGATCTTGCCTGTCTTGCGTGCTTGCATTGACACGGGAGTCACTCATTCATTCTCAAGAAAGAGCGTCCGTCCTGTATCTGCCACCGCAGGCCCCTGGACCAACGCGCCCACCACCTTCAGGTGAGGCTGCATGGACGCTGTGCATTGCAACAACTGCTGAGAGCTGCTGTGCGGATGGTTGCAACACCCTTGATGCCAGCCAGAGGTCTTGGGCTTGCCTTCGAGTCTGGCATGTCCGCACCAGCCCCTGCGCACGACCTTCCTCTACGTTCACCGAGCCCACACGCTGGTCCCATTTTGCCATCCCAAGGGCCTCACCCCCCACATGCGCTCCACCCACCCATTCACCTTTGGCAGCAACCTGTACTTCCAGGAGCTGGTCAACAACAAGTGGTGGGTGCCATAGCAAATACACAAGCACGCACTCACGTGTGCACATACGCCGAACCACACACATTGACATACTCGCGCACGCACAAACACATACACATGCAAGTGCACACATTTGCACAGATACACTCCGATGGCTGGTTTGCTCTTGCTGCCCTGTGTGCAGTTGCTCGTGCCTGAGCTGCTGTCTGCAGCTGTTTGGTGAGTCTTGCCCGGTGGTGTCGCAGCCGCACCCTCTTCTGTGACGCATTTTCATGGTACATTGCCCTCTCCACCTCCCACCTGTCATGTTATCCCCAGGCGCAAGAAGCGGTGGAGCGGCCCCGTGCAGTACGAGGACAAGAGCGGCGAGCTCATGATGCTGCCGACTGACATGGCCCTCATCTGGTAGGGAGGGGGGCTGAGGGCGGGTCAGTGCCGTTGCGGGTGGTTGCCCATCAACTTACGTCAACAGACAAGGCCTTGGGGTTGTGGCTTGTGAATATCAGTCAACCTAAATGTGGTCAACCACCATCACCTCACACACGTGCGTGCGCGCAAACACGCACGCACACACTCACGCTCACAAGTGGTACACACACACACACACACACACACACACACACACACACAAGTGCAGACGCCGACTCGCCTAATGTCACGCAGGGACCGCAAGTTCAAGCCTGTGGTTGATGAGTACGCCAAGGACGAGGAGACCTTCTTCAAGGTGTGCGGAACACCCGCCTGGTGTGGGTTTCATTGGTGCTGTGTTGACACCTGCAACGCGGACTGCCCGCTGTTACAATTTCATATCAGGCGGCTATCACCTCACCGTGCCAACCCCACAGGACTTTGCCGCGGCTTTCTCCAAGCTCTTGGCACTGGGGGTGCCCGGCCAGGCGGCCTGACGGGCACCTGACATGCTTGGAAAAGAAGTGCCTCGTCTCAGCAGCCGGCAAGCAGAGATGGGGTGGGGAGGCGGCGCTCCGTCTGGATGGAGACCGCCAGGTAGTTGGGCGACTGGTGTTGCCACTCTTCACAGCACAGCACCTGTCTGACAAGGTGCTGCCCTGCTTATACTTGATTCCGTTGGATGCAAGGCACCCACGTGTGCGGGGCTCACCAACTGCTGCAGCAAAGTCTGCAGCAGCCGCACCCAGCTGGCCTGGCGGTTGCTTGCAAAAGCAGCGGGCTGGCGTGCACTGCCCGCCGCACCAACTTAACACGCACTTTCAATCCTGAGTAAAAACTTCTTCAAAATCCGACCCTGTTCAAATAGAACCATGTGGTCAATGATTGATCCACTTTTGCGCTGGTCAAACCTGAATTTTGACAAGCGCAGTGGGAGTGGTCTGCAATAGGCCGCCAAGTGGTGCTCACATTGCTCACATTGATACGAATACATTATTTTTCTATCGTGTTGTTGTCAATACTGGGGATCGCAAATACCGGGTCGTACGGTGCTGTGATTGAGAGGGAAAAAAACACCCGGGCTCGTCTCAAATCACATCGCTCGCCGCCTTCCACAGCGAATCGCACGACATAGCGCTACATATGCGATGTTTTTCTCGATTGCTTTGCCCTTTTGCGTTGTTCGCCAACACCACTGCCGACCTTGCCCACCTGCGCAGCGCATCGGCGTGAGCAGTAGCTGAGAAGCGGCAGCATTGGGAACCGGCCTGGGGCGGGCCCCTTACAGCCGCACCCGGCCATTCTGAGCCGTAACCACTGCTCATGGCGCATGCACGGCTTGGCCAAGGTCTCTATAGCGGCGGGTACCAGCACTATCTGGAGCAACGTGTGGATCAGCTTGAGCAGCAGGTGCAGGGTGGGCATGTGGTGCACCAGGTCCAAGCTGGTCTGCTGCCCATAATGCATCATTTCACGCACTTTTTATCCCTATACATGCCTGTTTGCAGGTGGCGCAGCACAAGTGCGATAATCAAGCAGCTACAAAGGCGCAGGACGCTTCCCAGCAGCAGGGAAGTCCCTCTGAGCTTCAGTCGATGCGGCACGATCCGGAACGTCGGCGGCTTCGCTCTGGCATCCAGGAAGCGCAGGTGCACTCCGAGGAGTCTGTGCTGGGCAGCCAAGGTGGCAGTCTTCGCAATGCAGTCGACTTAAGCAACCCTCGTCAGTGGCGGGCTGTCAGCGGCCCTTACAGCACAGCAGCATGCTCGCCGGGCGGGCCAGCATGGCAGCAGAAGCAGCCACGGGAGCAGTGGGACAAACATGCAGAGGCGCACGCCCTTGCCACACAATCAGCCAGTGCCGAAAGCACCAACCAGGCCCCAGCTGCTGAGTTGGTTGAGGCGACACGCCTCCGCAAACAGCTGCATGCACAGGAAGCCCGTGTCGCGCTAGCCGCCAGCGAGGCCGGGCGCCTGGCGGCTGAGAACGCGACCCTTAGGGTGCTGCTGCAGGACCATGCTGGTCATGGACGTGTTTGGCCGTTGCAGGCGGCATCAGTGGGGCCGGCAGCGGCCAGCAGCAGGCCTGGTGCAGGTGATGACGGTTGGGGGAGGGCAGAGTGCAGTAATGCTCGGGGCAGCCCCGCAGGGAGAGTGCACCCTCTGCACGATTGCACAGCAAAGCTCGAGCTTCAAGTTGGGGAGCGCTCAGTGCCAAATGATGGCCTGGTACCAGGCGCCAGGTTCGAGTCGACGGGCGCAGAAGCCTTATCAGCCGAGCTGGCAGCGGCAGCAGACCTTGCGGCGCTGACCCTCCAAGGTCAGGAACGCGGCAGCAGTCCTGATAGCAGCTGCAGCAACGGCGGCGACAGCAGCAACGATTATTCGAGAAGGGAGGCGAGCACCAGCAGTTGTGGAAAAGGCTGCCAACACAAGGCGACTGACAACAGCGCTGCTGGCTGCGGCTGGCGTGCGCTGCAGGACGAAGTGCAACAGCTTGGAATTTCTGGCGGCGATGGCAAGCCTCAGTGGGACGGCTCCACTGCAACTGCATCATGGCAGGTGCATTCAGACAAGAGCGCAAAGCACAGGTGCAGCTACAGCTGCAGTTCAGCAGGATTGCCCCTTGAAGCCGGGACGGCGACAGCGGGGCGTGGCCCAACACGGCAACAACGCCCCCCCAACGTGGCCACCATGCGCGGTGTGGCGCCAGCAGCGTGCTCATGGGTGCCAGCAGAGGCTCTGTCGTGCATTGAGGAGTTTTACTCGCAGCATGGCCTGGCCGGCAGTGTCCCCTGGGTGCACCTGGAGTCGCTGCTGGCTCGATTGGACAGGGCTTTTGGTGAGCGAGAGGCTTCGCGCCTGGTGCAGCAGAGGGAGCACTTCGAGAGGCAAGTAGAGGCAATTAGGCGGCGCTGCAATGCCAGCCGCAACATGCCCCAGGTCGTGGCTGAGGAGAAAATATCGCGGTTGCAGCGGCAGCTTGCAGAGGCGCGGCGGGTGATGGCAGCGCGAGACGACTCCAAGCAGAAGGCCCTGCTTCAGGTTTGGAGAGGGGGCTGCATGACACAGGCAGCGTGTGCAGGACAGCGTTGGTCACCTGCCTGTGAGGGACCCAATACATGATTGCCGGTACCTTGCTTGCAGTTCCCCCCCCCCCACACACACACGCACGCACGCACGCACACGCACGCACGCACGCACGCACACGCGCACACGCGCTTACACACATGCAGTACGTACACACCTCTGATGCTTTCCCTGATTCTTTGTGCCCTGGCCAGACAAGTCTTTAGAGTCCATACATGATAATTACCTCCCCATGGGTACCTGGCCCCCACAACAACAGGTAGCCAAGCGAGGTTCTCACCTCAGCCGCGAGCTAGAAGAGAGCGAGGCAGCCAACGCACAGCTGGCCAACCAACTGCAGGCATCAAAGGCTGCTCGGCTTGAGGCTGCTGCCCACCTGCGGAGCGCATTTCTGGCAGGAGCACGATGGAAGGCACGCCATCTGGTAGCAGCGCTTGAGAGAGCCGAGGCAGAGGCTCACGCAGCCGCTCAGCAGTTGGAGGACTTCACACGTGGATGGGCAGGTGCGAGGGTGGGGCTGAGCTGCAGGGGTACATTGATGCGAGCTGCAAGCGCTGGTGTACGCCCATGCATCCACAGCAACCTGACCAAGCAACATGCATCAGCTGTCGTCCCGCACTCTTGCCTGGCTGTTCCCTACCTGTGGCAGAGGACCTGGGACTGGAGTCACTGCTGCTTCCAGAGCTCCTGCCACGCCAGCAGGCAGCATTTGTTGCCAATGCCACCGCGCTTTCGGCAATCAAGTCACACGTTCAAGCTGCGGTGGACCAGGCAGCTGAGGATGTTGGCGGCAACAATGCTAGTTGCCGGCATATGAGCGCCCAGAGCGTCGGCCCCCCTGCACTTTCAAACTGTGAAGAGGGCACTGGCAGAAGGGTCTTGGGTTATGCACTTTGAACTATAGCATGCAAGCAGAATCACTCGTTTGCACACTCCAAGCCAGTATGCGGACTTGCAAAGGAGTTACAAGTGTTGAAAGCACCTGAGCTGCTGGTGCGTGCGCTCCCATCTGTGTCGCTGGCTGCCAGGCAGGATGGCTGTGCGCAGGTGCAGCACAAGTCTCACCCAACACAAACATTTCAAATTCAGATGAGAAGAGAGACACTCAGTACCAGAACCATTATGTGCTGCTGTGCGCCGCATTTGAGTGTGTGTGATTCCTGCCTTTGTGTGCGAGAAAGTACCGCAGGTCAGGAGCTGAGTGGAGGTGGCCAAATAATTGGAGCCTGCCAAAAAAACTTGGGGCTCTTTAAAGCGTGGTGCATGTCGCAGCGCCGCTACTCAAAGAATGCGTTGCAGATTCAGTCTGTGTGTGCGCACACAAACATGTGAGTGCAGTGTGGACTGGACCAACGATCCTTGTGAGTCGATCATGGTGAGCACAGTGGCTCGCCTTCCTGTTTTGAGTATCCGGCTTTTGCCCTGCTTGTAGACTTGTCGTCTGGCCTACCACAAACAATTAGCATGTGCGTGTGTTGTTCTGCCTGTAGTCACAGGCCTGCCTTGAAATGCTGGCAATCTGCGCGCGCCGCTCACAGGCCCTTCTTGGGCTTCTGGGCCTGCTGCACCGCCTGAATTGCAGGCGACGCCTTTGCCGCCGGGGACGCAGCAGCAGCCGCGGTGGCTGGTGAGGCGGCAGGGGCGACGGGTCCAGCCTCGGTGGTGGGAGTTGCGGGGGTGGGGGCCTGGGGCTGGTACAGCCAGGCTGGGCCATTGCTAGGTGCCGCCTTGGCCTCGCACAGCACGCGCCTGGCAAATGAAAAGAGGGCGTGGGTGGTGCAATTGGGTCAGTTCAAGGAAGATGGGTGACGTCTGCTGAGCGTGGAGAGCTCAGGAGGCGAAGGCCCCCAAGTTGCCGCAGCCCCCGCCCCCTTGACACCACTGGCTTCCCTGGACGTACCTGAGATCCTTGAATTGCGACGTGAAGGGCGACTTGTCCCAGGCCAGCTTGCCCCCAAAGGCGCGCTCCTGGTCCTGGTCGGCCCACATGCTGAAGGTCACGTGCTGCGGCGCGTTGGGCGGCCTGAACGAGCGCGTGAAGCCCACCCCCTTCATGTCCTTCCAGCTGACCTCCTCGTCGTAGCGCCGCCGCAGCAGCATCACGCCATTGGCGTACCACGCCACCTGTAGGTCATCGCGAGAGGTTCCGGCCACCGGGGGGGATCGTGGGTTGCCAAGGAGGGGAGCAGGACGCTGCGAGGTGCTGCTGGCAAGGAAGCACGCATCAGTGCCAGACAGTGGCTTGGGATTGCCAATGCTCCGTCCCACGTCTTGACCCCTAATGCCCCCGGCTGCGGGACCCACCTGGTCGGGCTGCCAGTTGAAGGCGAAGGTGACAAACGTGTTGCTGGCGTCCTCCCCCTCCTTGAGGCCCAGCAGAGTGCGGTACTCCTCCGGCTTGACCAGGCGCTCGCCCCCGCTCATGCCCTTGTTGAAGCTGTTCAGCCACAGGCCAGACGGCACACTGGGGTTGCCGTTGAGGAACTGGGCGGGTGGGGTGGTGGGGAAAGAAGAGCAGGGGTGAGCGGCGCCCGCCCGGGTCAATTCGAGTGCTGTTGCTTGCCATCCTGGGCCTTCCATGGCACTCCCGAGTGCCAGGTATGGGATCCCAAAGCGAATGGTGGATTCTCAGAGATGAGGGAAGCTTAAGCAGTTTGCCAACACCAAATACTAATAACGGCTTGCACCATATCATCACTTGGCCTTCACGGCTTCCCCATGTATGACTCCATATGCGTGCAAACGCGCACAACTGTGCCTGCACTTGGGCGCGCACATAGACACATGCTCGCTCTCTCTCACTCACACACACCCATGCACACGCGCACATGCTGCCCCTCACCTCGTAATCAATCTCGCTGAAGTCCCCCCAGTTGGCGGTGTTGTAGTCGTCGCTGGAACGCGTGTAGAAGGCGGTCACGGCGCCGGACGACTTGTCGATCTTGCCGGTCACCTGGGCGTGTGTCAGGCCGGGATCGCAGTAGCTGGCAGAGCGTGGGCGCGAGGTGGCTTCAGAGGGCACAGCCCCTGCTAACATCCCCTGCACCTGCGCAGTGCGCATGCTTCTCTTCGTAGTACGGCTATCGCTATCTGGCTCTCTGACCCACGCCTCTAGCCCAAACTTCCCACCTGGTACATGCCAAACATGTGCTTGCCATCGTTTGTTGTAAAGCGCAGGCCGTTGCTGCCCTCCTGTTGAGGGGGACGGCAGGTTGAGGCGGTGGAGCACTCGGCACCAGCGCTCGGCTGGATGCATTTTGCTGGCACATGCGGCGCCATCGCGCTGACTGCCACTCATGCCTTTAAAAATGGTTTTCCCCTCCTGCCTGCGCATGTCTGTTCCGCCGGGTGTCCATCAACACAGCGAATAACAGCTGCACACTCGTGGGTCCGTCCACCTGTCAACCAGCAGCCCTGCCCACCATCTTGATCGTCATGACGCCGTTATCAAAGGAGGCGTGGTTGTCGTTGTAGTGGAAGTTGAAGCTGTTTTTCTCCATGGGCACGTTGGCCACACGGCAGGTGGCCTCGCCCGCATCAGCATGATTGTAGAAGAGCGCGGCACCTGCACCCTTGTCACCGCAAGCGGCATCGGGTGCACGCGCGGCTTCCGCGGGGATCACGTTGAGGCAGCGGCACTCAAAGTTGGGGGTGATTGCATTGAAGGGGGCACCCTTGGTGCGGCAGTAGCCGGCGCACTTGCTGATGCTGTAGGAGACAAACTGGGCCGGGGGGTCGGAGCTGCGCAGTCCGTCCAGCTGGGTCAGGTCGAAGCAGCCCTGGTATTGGCAGACGGGATTGCAATGCACGCAGGTGAGGATCTCATCCGGGGCGTGTGGGTGGGTACAGGAGGCCGCTGCTCAGGCATGTAGCGTGCACGCAGACCCACCAGGTAAGCTCCGTGCGGCGCATCGGCGCTCTGGGCAGTAGCGCTGGAGGCCGCGCACAGGACTACCAGCAGCAAGACGAGCCGCTGCATTGCGTAAATAATGAACGCAGATTCACGTGGCACTCGGCCCGCGCCCTATGATCGGACAGCTGGTCAAAGGAGGCGCTTGGGGATGTGTGCGATCGTGTTGTATGGTAACAAATAATACAACGCGTTTCGCTACGAATAACATGGTATATCGTCCCCTGGACAGGAAGACGTAAGGGTGTTGCGCTCTCTATCGGGACGCTAGCCCGGCGTTTCCATAGCTGCCACGCCCCGGCAGCTGCAGCGCGAGCAGCCTGGCCCAGTGGGCTACCCCCTGTTGGTGTGAAATGGTAAATTTTCGTGGAGATTTATCAAAAACACAATATCTCACAGCATATCAACATCGCTTGCCCAAATGACGCTGCAGCTGCGGCCCCCGTGTTGGCCTGTGCACTTTCAACTGCCGCGCAGCCCTGCGCACCGTCGAACACCCATGCACAGCCCCCTTAAGATGCTGGGAGTGTTGTATGCTACTACCACAAGAGCTAGCAATCTGCCATTGCCTGGGTTACAAGCATTGAGCCAGCCCGGGCTGGTAAAGCAGTCGCGCAGGCTGTATGTGCGTGCCATGTCGCGCAGGCAAAGTGGGTGCTGATGGACTACAGACTTTAAATTGATGTGCAAATGTCCGGGGCCTACATGACCGGCAATAGATGCTGCCTGGCCTTGAATATATACACACTCATAGCACTCCGCATGGCGCCCTCTCACACTCCAAACAACACAATCGCAGGAGAAATAGCAACCTCGCTCGCCTCTGAACCCCAAAAGGAGGCCCCCATGACAGCGTGAGGGGGGCGACCGGCGCTGGCTTTGCGCCATGGCCGCGACTCGGTGTGCCTGCCCGCTCTGCATGTCATCCCGCAGCCAAGGGCAAGGTAAACCCACGCAACACAGCGCGCGTGCCTCCGCCCCGACACCAAGGGCCCCAAGGCTCGGCCGTTGCCTCGACCAGGGCAACGACGTGTCGCTGCCGTCACAGGTCATCCACTCCCGGCCCGAAGGGGTCGTCGTCGTCCACGTCCTTGGGCCGCAGGGGGACCGACTTGAGCTGGGGGGAGTGCTCCAGGGCCAGCTTGTAGCCAAAGTGCGGCACCGGGTTGTAGTACGTGTCCATGGCCACGCGCTCGTCCCACTGCTCGCCGCCGGTGCTGTGGCCGTGGCGCCGCACGGTGCCGTCCCCCGGGTGCTGCTCCCCCCACCAGCGCTGGTAGCGGTGGCCGCCGCCGTCGACGGACCACACCTCGCCGTTCTTCTCCCCGCGGCCGTCAGCAAAGGCCTCGTGCCACTTGTCGCCCCACTGCTCGCGCGCGCCGCCGGGCAGGATGCGCTCCGCCCTGGGGGTGCAGGGTGGGTGGTGAAGGGGAGGGGTGAGG